TAATTCTTTTATTTTATTATTGTACATCTTTTATAATTAAAAATTTTATTAATAAAATTTGAAATTTAATAAACTTTATTTTCTATTTCTATATTTCTTTAAATCATATTCTAATTGATCTTTTATATTTTGTAATGGATCAAAATAACTAAAATCTTCACTTACATGTACTAATGTTGATTTAAAAGTTTCATCTGTAGAGAAATTGGTTTCTGATAAAACATTGTCTTCTGTGAAATTTGAAGAATCGTAATAAAGTGAAAATGTATCATCTGATTCAATGTCACATTCTTTTACAGGGTTAAAACTTTTAATTAATTCTATTGCTTTCTTATGATTACTATTGTGATTTGTCATATTTGTAATTAAGGAGATTTGTTTTAAAACTTCAAAGTGTTGAAATTAGCAATTATTTGTTAATTTAAAATTGGAATAAATTAATTGATTAGCTTAAAAAATGATTAAAATAAAAAAGTATAATTTTTATTTAGGTAATCCATAAATAACTAATGAAAACCCATTTAAGTATTTTAAATCACATTTCATTTTATATTTTCTAATGTTAAAATCATAAGGTTTTTTTAAAAGATTAATTGAAAATCTATCTAAATCAACGTCTGTTATGTTCCATAACGCTCCCAAAATTAAATTATTATTTCTTAGTGCACTCAAAGTGATTCCATTTAAAGTTTCGTAATTTTCTCTATAAATTAATTTTACTGAACTACATCCAAATAAAAATACAAACATATTAGAAAGATCTTTCTTATAGTGATATTTAATACCATTTCCATGTCCAAAATACATGAAATGTTTATAATCACTTAATAAGTTAACTTCACTAACATTTAATGCTCTACCTATTACACCTTCTACTCCTTGTTTTTCTATAAATTTTTTTATTCTTCTACGTGTATTTTCTAAGTTATTAGATGGATCTAATAAATAAAAACATTCTTTATTGGGCTCGTTGTTTATTCTATTGAAGAGTTGTGATAAATCAAATATTCTATAACAATTTTTTTGAAAAAATAATTCAATAGGAATTTCATGTAATTTAGGTTCAATAATTAGGATTAACTCGGAATTGATCTTGAAAGGTTTAAATAAATTTCTAAGTTCTCTATCTAATACGGATCTTTTTTCATACCAAATCTTTGGATTTGTTTTATCCATAAGTATGCTTTTATTACGATTCATTATATTTTTGAATGTGTTAATAAACTGAACATAATCATTTACTAGTTCATTTTTTGATTTATCGTATAAATCATAACAAATTATTTTGTTTCCTTTTTCGTAAATATAAACTATATTATACCCTTTAGAATGAAAATTCTTTACCTTTTTATTTACATCTTCTTCAGATAAATATTTACAACAATATCTATAATATAAATCAATTCTTACCTTATTCTCATTATACCATTTTTCATTGTTCTTTATATATAAGTATATTAAATATTTATTTTCAATAATTTCGTTTAATTTATAATTTAAATCACACATCTTAATTTTTATTTTAGAATGAAGGGTTACTTTATTCCCAAATCTCTCAATATAAAACAATAAGTTATAAAAATAATCTAACATGACTTTGTTGTTTTTCTTGTTATATAAAAGTATTCCCTGATTGATATAATAATTACACTCATCATATTTAAACATATAAAAGTATAATAATGACAATAATTTAAGTACTAAACCCCTTAAACATTTGTGTTTATAAATCTCCATCAATAACATACAAGCATTTTTTAATTCATGTACTCTTATCATTTCTATAGCCTTATAAAAATAATTCATTAACTTGTTTAATACCTTAATAGGCAAATCATTATTATTGTTTATTAATAAATATTTAATTATACTTTCATCATATATATCAAGATCATTCCAATACTCACTACAAATAACATCTGTATACTCTTTAATAGTTATATCTTTCATTAAACATGTATCTGTGATCATCTCTTTTCCTTTGATTGTTAACTTTTTACTCTCAATATTGAAATATTTATTAAGTAATATTTTAACATTCTTACTTACTTTTTCATAAATAAATTTTATACTTTCTAAATCAAATTCATTAAGATTTCTATATTTAATAACATAATACATTCCTATTAAATTAACTTCTTCTTTATTAACTAAAAAATTAACTTCTTCTTTATTAACTAAATCAACATCATAAACAAACTCATCAAATAACTCCTTGTTAAAATACTTATTAGAATATTTCAATATAAAATGATTGATACTGTTATATTGAATGTCACCATTAGTTATTTTTAATAATTTTTTTAAAGTTTTAATGATTTTTATAACAAACATAGTTATATTCTCCAATTCACTGCTCTTATAAACAGGAAGTTCACTAACAATACCATTAAGTATACTAATAGAGTATTTAATCTTATTATAATGACTCAATTCACTGTTTTCCAGAGATATTTTATTTTCAATAGAATCCTTTATTTTCTGATCAAATTTCATAAATTTTATTTAAAATTTTATTTATTCAAAATAAATTCATAAATTTTCCTTTGTTAGTTGAATCCAAATCTGAATCATCATTCTTAGGATTCTTTTTTGATTTTAAATTTTGTTCTTCATTTTTTAAATTTAATTTTTCATTTAATAATTTTGACATTTCTTTAATTTCTTTATCATCATTAATAATTTCTTTATCGTTATTAATAATTTCTTTATCATTTTCATTTGAAGTTATCAAATTATAATTATCTGATTTATCTTTATTTAATTCTAAATCATTCAAATTTTCTAAATCTTTTAAATTTTGTGTTAATAATGATGGTGGAACATCTTGTAATTCTTCTATTAATTCAATATCTTTTTCTTTCTTAACTTGTTCATTTTTTTTATCTGCATCTACTGCCTCATCATATGTTTCTATTTCTGGTTCTGTTAAATGTAAAGCACAACAATCAACTGCTGATTCTTCATCTATAAACTCGTCTATATTTTCCCTTTCAGATCTCAATAAAACTACTTTCTTTAAAACTTCTTCTTTATCTACTTCTTTTTCTATCACTTCTTCTATTCTTGTTAAATTAGTTGTTGTTGATTCTAATAGTTCCGCTTGGATAACATTTGTTGTAGAAGTTGATGAGGATGATGTTAAAAAATTCATCAAAGTACTTATCGAATCACTAAAATCAAACGCATACAATAGTGACTTTTCAACTATAAATGGAAGACTCCATGATATTCCGTTTTGAAAATTTGGTAATATAAATGGATGTTTAACTGCATCAACATTAAAAACTTTTTTAATTTTTTTATCATAAAGTATAAAACATCCTGTATTATTATAAATATCACAGTAATTGGGTGCACTGAATATTATAGTTACAGATGGAAAGTTATTATAATTATCTAAAAATTTTATACCCTCTTCCTGAACTTCATGTGCTCTAAAAATACCTTTTAAATTGTTATTTTTTAAAAAATTGATGACGTCATTATAAGAGTAAAAAACCGAACAATTTCTTTGATGATTAGGAATAAATGATGATTTTGTAGTAAATTTTGGATTTGGATCAGACCATAATAAATCACAAATGGGTCCATTAGTAGGAATTTCTCTAAATCTGTCAATTTTATCAATATCATAAATATTTTTAAATTTAGAAGGTATTCCACCATGAGAACAAAAAATATCATTTTGAATAATTGCACAAATTGGTAGAGTATTAAAAGAATTTAAAAAAAGATCATAAGCCTCAATACCGTATTTGGAAGTAACTTCACTTTTAAAAGTAAAATAAGAAGTCATACTTAATGATTCATGATTACCTCGTAATATAAAAACCTGTTTAGGATAGTGTGTTTTAAGTAACATTAGAAAAAGATAAACTTCAACTGAAAAACTTCCTCTATCTACATAATCACCTAAAAACAACACGTTATGTTTTAAATTACTAATATCAATTTCATCTAATATTGTCATTAAATCATAAAACTGTCCATGTGTGTCACCAATTACATAAGTTGGACCATCAATCAACAGTAAATTAGGCTCTAAAATTGTAATTTCAGATGAAGTTTTTAATAAAAGAGATAGTTGTTTTAAACTTAATTTTCCTTGATTGAAAAAGTGTAGTTTTAAAATAGATAAATCAAAAAGATTTGATTTTTGATCTAAAATTACCTTATCAGGAATTAAGTGAGCGGCAACCGTTCCTAATTTTGGTAAAATTCTTTCAAATGGCGCATTTTCTTCTGAATCCTCAATAAATTTATCTGGTCTAACTTTTATAACTTTATCCTTAACACTTTTTAAATTCATCTTTTTTTAAAGGAGAACTTAAAAAGAATTAATTGTAATAATTTACCAATAAAAATCTTTTTAACTAACAAATAACAATAAAAAAATTGATTAAAATTCTTAAATCAACTATTTTTTATTTATTAATATTAAAGTAATTATAAATATCAATAAAACTTTTTAAAATACAAAAAAATATTTTTGAGTAAAATTTTATTTAAATTCTTACAGTTTTATTTTTAAACAATTTAAGATCTTTCATCAAATCATTACTAAGTTTTTTCTGTAAATATAAAGATGTACATCCTAAACAAAAAAGTATCAGACAACTAACAAATAACAACATTTTTATTTCCATGAACTAAAATCTCCTTAAAATTTTATATTTTCTTTTCCCCTTTAAAATGTTAAATGGAATAAAATTTATAAAACTTTATGTTCTAATGATCTGTTTGATTTTAATAACATTCTATTACAGCACAAGAATAGATTTTAGTTCTAAAATAGAGCGGGAATTTTCTAACTTTTACTATAAAACAGATCTCAATCAATTCATAGAGACTGATATAAATGATAGAAACAATAGATTTGCAGCAGAAGAGGACATTGAAAAATACATAGAAAACTTCTTTAAGAATTCCAGTAAAGCAAATGAATTTATTAACTTCTTTAAAGCTATTGCACAAAAGAATCTTTTATTAGTTAGATATGAGTTATTGTTATCACTAGTAATGTTATTACCAGTAAAAATTATTCATAGAGAAAATCCAGATAAATCAATGGTAACATACTTTAAAGAATTAGACTGTGATATATTTGATAAATATAATGATTACCACACTGGAAATAACAAAATACCACCAGATTTAATTAAACGTATAAAAGATACCGGAATAATGCTTCCTAAAATAATTGCAGTTGTTTCAATTGGAATTGAGATATTTCCATTAATAAATAGAATCATTATACATGATTCTATTGAGGTATTTCCTGATTTAGATTATGTAATAGAACATTCAGTTGATTTTATTTTAACTTTTGGTTTTAGTTCTAAGAACATACTGATCAATCTTTATTCCGAACTGATCAAGTCCATGTTTGCATTTATATTTAATAATGCTTTATACACGTGTAAGGGTGTTTGTCCTGAAGAATATAAAATGAATGATGAGAATTGTAAAAAAATTCTATATAAGGTAATTGAAGAAAATTTTCCAGGATCAAAAGCACTAGTAATAAATAAAAACAACGTAAATGAACCAATAAATGAACTAATAAAGTATCTTAGTGAAGAAGGAAGTAAATACAAGAAAGAAAGGTTAATTGAATTTTTAGGTGTGGTGGGAAGTAACGCAATTGATGCTGTAGGTCCTTATATTTGTAGAATAATCAGATGTGCTAACATACCAACCCAACTTTATGGTAGCTTTGTATTTTCATTGCTAGATAGAATTCATTGGATTGTAGTTAAACACGTAGAAGGTAATTCAGCTATAACTAAAATACAAAATTATTTAAAAATAGACATCAATGAAGATAAAGATAAAATGATACAAAATACTTGGAGATGATTAATTGTATTTAAATTTAAAGATTTTAATAATATATCAAACATACCATCTTTTTTATATAATTATTTTGGTATCAAAGAAATTTTTGAATCAGCTAGAAATTTTTTTCAAAATGATTTTTATTTCAGGAAAGATATAAACGATACCGATTTAAATAAGATACCTTTAAATATTTTTGCTAAAGCATTTATTAATTTATTTGAAATAGCAAAGTTAAAAAAAGAAGTTCTTGATGTTCCATTTAAATTAGCAGTTATTTATATTTTAAGATTTTTAAGTACAATTGATGAGTTTATTAATTAAAATTAATTATTTAAAAATATTGATTGAATTCTTATTTTATTGTTCTATAAATAGGTTTAAATGTTAATAATCGATTACATATTATATTAAGATTAGATGATTTAACAAGATTATCTTTTTTGATATAATCTCTAGTTCTAATATTAAATAAAGCTAAGAAACAAAATCTACAAACTAATAACCCCATAAACGCAGTATAAATTATTTGTAAAAGTGGTAGTGATTGTTTAAAAAAGTTTTCTTTTAAAAAATTTTTAAAATTATACTTATTAGTTAATTTGTATAAACAACTGCAAGCAACAATAAAATCTACAACTAAAAACATTAAGAAAAATCTATAGTTATTTCTACCTACACAATTTAGAATAGAAGGACAGTGATGATCTTTTTCAAAAATACAACCCTTACAAATACCACAATGTGCCATACCTGGTGCTCTAAATATATTACAAGTGAAACAGTAATTCTGAGAATATTCCTCACTTTTTTGTTTATTACATTCTATTTTAGTTTCCAAATTAGGATTGGATGTTTTATCATTATTATATTCTATATTAATATCTTCTCTATCAGCTGATTTGATAACATTTCTAGTAGCTTCATTAAAGTCAATATAAATAACAGTACCATCAGACAGTGCAATAACTTCATTAGAATATTCAATATGTGGCTGTGGTTTAATTATACCAGGACCAATAGAAGTTATTTTAATTAAAGAAGTAACACTTATTAAAATACAAAACAAACAAATAAAAAATAATAGAGAGTTAAAATTAGGATAGAAACAATAAATTAATGTTAAATAATTGCCAATCTTAAAAAACAAATGAACATAAACCATTTTATCAAACATAAATTCATCTACTAAAGCTATAATCCCCTCTATTGGATTTATCATTTCAAAAGGGTTAAAATTTTTAAACAAATGGAATTTATTAAAATAAAAACAGAAGTGAGATGTAAAATAATAAAAACTTCATATAACTCACTAATAATGAAGACAGAATCTGGACACATAGCTCATTTGAAACATGTTAACTTAAAAATAGATCCAAATTATCAAGTTGGTGAATATTTAGATTGTATCGTTACAGGCTATTCAGATAACGGTTTAATAGTCTCATTAAAATAAATTTTGATATTTAAATTGTGTTGTTAAAAACTAATCAGAGAATAATCAGTAGTTTCTTAAAATAAACTTAAATTTTAGTTAAGAAAAATTTATCAAATTCAAAAAATAATAAAGATTTTTCATGGAGAATTCAAAAGAAAGAGAAATTTTAGTGATTAATAATGAAAATGACATAGATCAAGTGGAATTAGATGAAGTAGTGGAATATTTAAATGAAAGGGAAGAAAAAGACAATGGAAATAGTGAATTAAATATTTACTTACTACTTTTATTTTCCATTATAGCACTAAGTGTATCAATAGCTTTAATTTTATATTCAAATGATTCTAATGAAAAGAAAAAATCAGCAGATTATAACAGATTATTAGAAAAAACTGATAAATCCATCAGTGTTAATGATTATCAAATATGTCTGGGTAGAATAAAAAAAGTAAAAACTATGAATGAAATGCTTAATGAGAAAAATTTTAATTTTAATCAAATCAAAGAGCCTTATAATGAATTTATTATTCTATTGGATAAATTAGAAAACTATGATAATCATAATAATGATTTGTTACATAATGCAGTGATTAATAAGGAAGTTTTAATCACTTTTATAAAGGATGTTCTATTTTCAGACAAACTTGCAATCTTTACAGAAATACATTATCATTATCATAAATTTAAACAAAACGGATCAAATATAACACATGGACAATTAAGTGATGATATTAACAACTGTATTAAAAATTCATCTAATCATGAGCATCATTTGGTTTTATTTTATCAAATCAAACATATTTTAAATTTTATTGGACTAAATTATGAAAAATTCACTTCTGGTGACAGTGGGAAGCAAGCCTATATAGAAAAATACTTTAATGATTCTAACAAAGAATATGATCATATAAAAAAACTCAAAGATTATTGGTTTGATTTATTTCCACTAACAGATACAATGATTAAAGAAAGAGCATTTTATCCTGATTTTGTTCCCGATAAACCATTTGTTTTTCCAATTGATCTAAATTTTATTAACAATTACTTTCATCAAGATATAAAAAAGTTTTTTATAAGAAATTTAATAAAAATTTCTAAACATACTATTAGTACAATTAGTGATTTTCTTAACGAGTCTAAAAGTAATTATATAGAAGATAATAAAAAGTTAAATATTTTTCAAAGTATGGTTAAATACATCAATAGTTTTGGGATAATTCAACGATTTAAAAAGGTTTGGAGTGGTAATACTTATAAACCTATAATTATTAAAACTGAAATTGACACTTGTGCTAGTTTTATGGTACAAATATTATATTACATTCATTTAATTGAAAATAAAGATAATAATAATTCTGATTTTAATCGCATTCTTAATGAAATTGAAGAATTGTTAAATGATACACAAAACACAGATCTTCTTAATTATATTAAAAAACTTTTAGAAAAAATTGAGACAATTAATAGTTTATTTGAAATTTTAACTAGAAAATATCAATAAAAATAAACATTTAAATCATCTAAATTAATATTCTCTTTTAGGTATTTCCATAAATCAGGATTATTATTTAACAAGTTGCTTTTAAAATCTTTTTCAATATTTTGTATCTTTTTAGGAATATTCATATCAGCTAATTTGATCTGATGATTCAATGAAACTATTTCATTCTCAGTTAATTTAAATACTTCTATTGCACTTACATTAATCTTAACTTGTTCAAAGTTGATATCTTTATTTAATAATGATATTTCCATTTGAATTAGTTCATTATGAATATCAGTCTTAAACCATGGTTTATAATTCTCATCATTGAAGGGTATAATTGTAACTGATAGTGTATCATTAGATCTTGTTAAAATGAGATTGTTAGAATTGTTAGTTTGTATAAGTTCTTTAAGACCAATAAATTCATTTTCCAAATTAGCCATATTATTTAAAATAAATTCTAATTTCCTTTTATAGACATATTCGAATAATAAGGGGATATCATTGAAGTTAATTGTACAGGGGATAGCAAATAAACTAATTATCAACATTTCCATATAGATATAAAATTTAGGATGTGCTCTTGGTACGACATACAAAGCTAATCTCCTTTTTACAATATCTTCGTTGGTTTTAAGTATCACGTATGATCCATAGAAAGTTTTGACATCAATTATTTCATTACAACACAATAAAAATTTCTTAAGATTTTTATGTCTATGATTGATCATAGAACATGGTTGTGTTTTATAATCAAACATAGATCCATTAGCTTTTGCATATGTCCTATTAAATGAACTAATATCAATTACTTGTGCAGAATCAAAAGCGTTAATAATTTTAAGCTTAATCATTCCAAACTTATCATTAACATTTGAAGTAATATTCAGTGATCTGTTTTTCTTAATCAATTTGTTGTCTAAATTAAGGGCACTTCTTTGTAAAGGAGTTTTAAATTTGTTACCAGTAAGTTCTTCACTACAACTCGAATCACTATCAAAATCTATCATTCCACTTTTTTTAACTTGATCAGTTTTATTAGGTAGATTTGTACTTGAATTAAAAATATTAAGTAAGTTATCAATAGTTTCCTTATTATAATATTTCTTCTCAACTACTAAAGTAAACTTACTATTCTTAGAGTTAGTAACTACTATTACATCATTTAGAGAATTAACTGCTTTGATAAAATCAGTATAAGAACAATTAGATTTGTCTTGTTTAAGAAAAGTTGTGTACAAGTCTTCCATCAAATAGCAATTATAAATCTTATTATTAACAGTTACTTTTCTTGTATTGTCTAGTAAATAAGCTTTTTTAGTTTTTACTTGAAAAGTAATACGATCCATTTTATTTAAAAATTTTTTAAAGATTTTTTTATTAGAAAATTATTAGAACTTTTCTGTAAAAAAAAGTTCCTTCAAAACAGTAAATAAACTTAATTTATGATTCTTTTCAAATCAATCAATAAGACTAAATATGTTTAATTGATCCAATATAAAATATAAAATTAAATAATTTACCCCTCAGACGTAAAATTTAATGAAAGAGAATTTTTTTACTAAAGTAAATGAGAAATTATGCAAATGTGTAGGAATTTGCACCACACCCAAGCGGTGTCATAAAGAAGCAGTGAGAGAAACGTTGTCTGAACTTTTTAGAAAGAATCGACTTCCTGGATATTACTCAGAACCAAATTATGGCAATAAGAAGTCTAGAAAGAAAATTAAACAGATAGATAAAGAAATGGAAGTTGCTCGTTTTTTGGTCTTTTTAAAAAGAAATAAAATTTACTTTGATTATTTTGATGTCATTTATCTTTATTTATTTTTAATATTAAAATTGTAAAATTAATTTAAAAAATTAATATTGAAAATTTTTTTAACCAATGATGATTAACAGTGAAGAAGTTTATAAATTTAGATATTTTAAAAAAGTATTAAATAACGATAAGAGAACTAAGAGAATGAATGAAATACTAAAAACTTCTATTGAATTTAGAAAGATTCATACTTTAGACCCCAGAGTTTATAATTTTACTTTAAAAGAATATACAGTTATTGAAGTATTAGTTATGTTAAAAAAATTTAATAAAAGTTTCAATTTTTAAACAGTTTAAGTATTTCTTCATTACTTCTTTTAATATTATTATAAGAGTTGTTAATTAATAAATTAGAGTTATTAATTAAATTATTACTAGAATTGTTAATTAAATTATTATTAGAATTATTAAATAATAAATTTAATTTATCTAAATAAATTAAATACATAGATGTTTCAATATAATCATCTTCATTTATTTTATAAGATGTTGTTGTCAAAATTGTTTTATTGTTTTCATCTTTTAATATTATTTTATCATTTTTATATGATATAAACCCATCTAAATATTTCTTTCTTTTCTTTATCTTATCTTTTGTAAAGGAACATTCCATTTCTATTAAAAATGATTTAATTTAAAAATTTATTAAAAAAATTTAATTAATGATTAAACACCTTTTTTTTATAAAATGAAAAAATAGACAAAATAATTTATTATGATTTATATAAAATAATTAGGGTTTATACTAACAAAAGTGTGTTTTTTTTATTTAATATATTAAAACTTGATTTTTTTACAAATTTTTATATTTAGAAGAATTGAAATTATAAATAACACTATAAAAAGGTATATTTTAAATGAAATGAAACGTTTTCAATAAAAATTAAACAATTTTATTATAATTTAAGGTATGATTTTGAAGAATCAAATTATAAACGAAGATTTTTTAAAATATTGAATAAATTGATTGAGAATTATGTTTATAAGGGCACTTTCAATTTTTTTCTTATATGAATTTTTAAATTTAAAAATCTCATGACGAGAGTGTGTTTGAAGTAAAT